GCGTCGAAGTTTTCGTCGCCGGCGCAGACCGTCGCCATCGATGATATTGAACTTTCTATAGGTATATGAAAGTTTACTCTTAATTTATTTTGCTCTCCAGTCATTTGTTATGAATTCACCGATCACATATACAGCAGCTATGCCCTCTCAACTTCATGTATAGCTTTTTTTAGAACTTTCTTCAGTTCAAACAGCCCAGTGTTGGAAGTTGTCTATGTTCAAATTTTCACCAGAGTAATTAGTTCCAAGGCGATGCTTAGGAAATAGGCTGCTTTCGTTTCATAAGCGTCAACTGCAAAACTTTTATACAGATTGAATTTCCTGCCACATGTTGTACCGCAGCAACATCTATGCCGAAAATAGTTCATATGTGATGCGATCCTTCTAACTGAAGATTTACATTCACAGTAAATCATTATACATTTTCACATTTACATTCCATCATGATCATCTCTTCAAAATGTCGCATGGTTCGCACTTCCACCAAGTAACAAAAAATTGATTCATTCATTTCAAAGCCTGCTATTCGTTTCGGATCACAATGGCAGTTATTTCAGGAGGCCTTTCCAGTCCGCCGCCAAATAAACAAGTCCCCTGTTCTACATTCGAATGCGCAAATTCAAACAGCTTGATCTATGCGTTCATGTCTCCATGCTGATTACATTATATTCAATCAAGACTCTTTGACTAATTTCACTTCGCCTTCTATTTCCGTTTTCTTCTTGTGTAACAGAGAAATCGTTGAACAGCTTCGTTATAAATAAGGACAGGACAAAAACACCGAGCCTTTCAGTAGCAAGAGCTAAACTTAGGGTTTTCCTGAGTCACTACAGTAACGTGCCTACAAGCATGGAATCTGCTACAAGTCAACTAGTCATGACTACAGTTAATCAACAGTGTAATTCCATTTATTTAGAACTCTACGAATCACCACAGTTCCCATATGGTACGGTGAGTGGCCTCGGCCATCCGGAAAACCAGAGAACCTACCAGACGGGTCAGGCCTCGTTCAGTCGCTACAGTCGACCGTACTTTGATTCGTAAGTCTGTCTAATGCTTAAAACACCGAATCAACTGATTTTCAGTTTAAACGAGGATGCCGGCGAGGCTGCCGAACCATTCAACCTATTCACAGCTGCAGAAGCTGATTACCCAACTGTGGGCTTCTGTCCAGCTGTCGACTGTAATTTCACAAGGGATTTCTGCGAATGGCGAAACGAGGAAGCAGGCCATTCGCAATGGAAGATTCGACTGCAATCAAAACCTGAACATTACGAATTTTACCTCCCACCAGGTATTACCATAGTCGTGCAGATTTCATCATTTACGCAGCAGCAGTATAACAAAATATCTTAAAACTGATAATCAATGTACATTTCCATGTCTTACCGTAAAACTTCACTGAAGTTAAGACACTAGTGAATTTTGTAGAAAGTTTCATTCTTTTCGCAAGTGAAAATTTGTCAGGGGCGTTCGAAATAGTGGAGATCTTTCTACTTCAAACTCGCTAGCGGAAATATTGAGTGACTGCCTCTGTTGCTTTATCTTCTTGTTATGATTGCAAATCTATACAATCAGGTGGATTTATCGTAACTTCTGACTTTCGGCAGTTCAGAAAGAGGAAAAGGCAACGCTAGCTACTAACGCCTTGTTAACTCAAGAAGTCAGGTGATGAAATCCGTATTCGACAGGGCAGTACGATGTACCTATTTTAAACAGCTACTTATTATTTAACTGCTATACCTTGTGTTAGAAGTAATCAGATATTAAGCAGGTCACAACAACTGAGGCCGTAAAGCGCGCGCATCAGAGAGCATGACTGTAAGTCTGGCACGCTCTAGCGTGACCACATCATTCAAGTCTCAAGTCTTCGACTTACCATTCGTTTCTCAACTGGCTGCGCTGAAGCATAATGGGATCATGTTCACAACTTCTTTAGAGAAAATTCGATTTTAGAGAACGG